CCCCCCTCTCCCCCCCCGGGGGTTGGGGGGGGGGGGGGGCGACACAGTTTGGCATCTTCACCTTGGGCACTAGATGACCTTGTCCTGCCACTGGTCCATAGTTAATAAGGAACTGCAGTATATCCATCAGGAGCCATGTAAAGCCAACTGAACCCCCAAGAACCCCCTCCCATTGACTTCAATGCACTTAGCCAAAATGGCTAAGTTTTCCTGAAGTTTCCTGAGAACTCCAACATTTCAAAGATTCCTAGTTAGAACGCAATTATGACGTTTGTACTTCTAGGGTATGTCCTGTATCTAAACACTCTTGTTTTTCTTCAATTATTATTCTATGGTTTCATCCATTGACAACCTGATCTAAGGAAGAAGGTTCTTACAGGGCAAGTACATAGGCTAAATATGTCCATTATGAAACCCTTTTAATATGTCAGCTGTTTCAGTTTCCTGTGCGGTTTGGGATGAATCAGCACTGCCCTGTGACATACTCATCACATTTTGCTTAGTAGATGGAACTTGATAGAACTTGTTTGTCACCTTGGAGATCTTGGAATTGAGCATTCTATATGACCAAGGATGTGTGGATATCCTCTTAATGATTGAATTCCGATGTTTCCAGTGAAGGTTCTGTTAATTCTATAGCATACGAAGACATGGTAGACAATTGTGCTCTTCCAGCCTTGTGGTAACAGTTTGGTGAAGACCCTCTGTACCACCATTACTGTCCCCTCTGAATACAGCCAACTCCATAAAGACATGGTTTGACCAGTTTGGTGGAACTCGAGTGTTTTGCACCTCAACCCTACTGAACACCTTTGGGATGAATTGGAACGCAGGTTGTCAACTGGTTCTGGTGAAGGCCCTTTTCTGTTTCACCATGACTGTCCCCTGTGTTCAAAGCCAGCTCCATAAAGACATGGTATGACCAGTTCAGTGTGCAGGAACTCCAATGGCCTTGACAGTGCACTGACTTTAACCATAATGAACATGACTGTGCATAAAGTCAGTTCCATAAAGGCATCGTTTGACCAGTTCGTTGTGGAGGAACTCCAGTGGCCTTCACAGTGCCCTGACGTCAACCCTACTGAACACGACTGTGCATAAAGCCAGCTCCATAAAGACATGGTTTGACCAGTTTGTGAAGTCCACTCGAGTTCCTCCCATACCAGAGTGCTTAACTGGAGCGGAGGAATTCTATTGTCCTGCACAGAGCCCTGATCTCAACCCTACTTCACATGACTGTCCCCTGTGTACAAATACAGCTCCATAAAGACATGGTGTCTGGTGTGGAGGAACTCGAGTGTCCTGCACACACCCCTGACCTCAACCCTACTGAACTCCTTTGAGAAGAATGCCGATTGTGAGCCAGGTCTTCTCATTCAACCTCACCTCACAAATGGTCACAAACTCCCACAGACCCCCTCCAAAATCTTCCAAAAAGTCTTCTCAGAAGAGTAGAGAAGGTTAAAGCCACTAAGGGGGCCAACTCCATATTAATGTCCATGGTTTTAAAATGGGATGTCAAACCAGTTCCTACAAGTGTGACGGTCAGGTGTCCACAAACAATTGGCCCTACGGTGTAAAGACATGGTTTGACCAGTTTGGTGTGGAGGACGTTGAGTAGCCTACACAAAGCCCTGACCTCAACCCTACTGAATGCCTTTGAGATGAACGCCGATTGTGAGCCAGGTCTTCTCATCCATTATCAGTACCTGACCTCACAAATGGGCACAAATTCACACAGACACCCTACAAAGCCTTCCTAGAAGACTGGAGCATGTTGTAGCCACAAATGGTGGCCAACTCCATATTAATGGCCATGGTTTTTGAATGGGATGTCCAACAAGCTCATATAGGGTTTATGGTCAGGTGTCCACATCTTCTGCCATACAGTTTATCCCTAATATTGTGCATGATGTGTCCACAATTGCCCAACCTCACAGAAAAAGGGTTGTATGATCATGGAGAGTTGAGTCCACTGGGGACAGCCAAACAATAAGGGGGGGGGGGGGATGGGAAACTGGGCGTTAAAACTGCCTACAATTGAATGGTCTTGTTTTTGGGCTCTCAATCTCTGTGTCCTTTTATATGTCACCATTAAAAGTGAATTGATCACATGTAAAGTGGTAAAGTTTTTGTGGCATTACGGAAAACGGATGTTAACACAGAGAAAAGGGTTTTTTTTGGGTTCATTTCCTCTATAAAATTAGAAATTAGGAACCATTTCTCTTCTGTTTCTGCAGATTTCTGAAAGAAGAAGTTCTCGGGAATCATAAAACTTCTGGTGAAAACTCCCACTTCCTGTTCAGCAGCTGACATCATTCCTTATTTTATTTAAGAAACAGCCAACAAGGGTATATTAGTCATGAAACTGATGCAAAAATGTTTTTTTTGATGGGTCTATAGGGTTTAAAGCAGAACTCCAGGCAAACAGCTATATACAAGAGCTGGTCTACCTGGTAAAGGATTTGTAATTGCACAGTTTCACTTTCACTTGCAGCTCTTATACCCACCCTGTGATTGGACAGGAGAAGCTGCAGACTGATAGGCTTATCTCTCTATCACTCTGCTCTCTCCTCCTATCATCTTGCTCCTTTTAATGCAGGACACCTAATTGCGTCCTTGTGCTGCTTCTTCCTTCCCCTCAGGGGCGTAACTAGAAATCACAGGGCCCCATAGCAAAGTTTTGTATGGGGCCCTGTGATTTTTAGTTATGCTCCTTGCTGAGCCCACCTGAGACCCCACACACCCACCTGCAGGGGTGTAACCAGCCCACCTGAGAGTGACCCTGCAGAGCCCACCATAGACTGTCTATGGTGGGCTCTGCAAGGTCTCAGGTGGGCTGGTTGCACCCCTGCACACCTCTTACCTGTCAGCCCCGATCCGCTCTCAGCTTCCTTAACCGCCGGTCCCTGCCTCGTCCTCCTCCACCGCCGCCAGGCCTGGCATCCTCCTCTGCCGGGCCCCGCCTCCTCCTTTTCTGCCAACGCCGGGCCCCGCCTTCTATTCCGCTGCCGACGCCAGCCTCCTCCACCGCAGCTGCTAGCTCTCACTGACTCAGCAGCCGCTGTGAGGAGGAACGCGCCGCTGCACAGATCACAGACAGGTTGTCAGTTATCTGAACAGTGGCGCGTTTCTCCTCACAGCCGAGAGTGACAGCCAGCGGCCTGTGATGCCATAGCGACCCAGGTGACACGCTCGGCATCAGAGGGACCCCTTTGTTCATCGTCCTGGCCGGATCCCCCTGTGCCCTGGGCCCCATAGCGGCTGCCTGGGTCGCTATGGTGATTGTTCAGCCACTGCTTCCCCTCTCTAAGTTCTGCTGTACAGGGATTGCAAGATGCCACCACTAAGTCAATTTCAGGCATTTGCCCTGCTTGGATTTAATACATAAATAAAATAAAAAACACATATACTGATTATTGAATATTGATTGCAGAGCTGCATTATTTGGCGTCTTTTATAGCTGCCTCGAGTTCAGCTTTAACATTTAGGTGTGAAAACCCTTCCGATGTATATATTGTATCATAAAATGGAATCATTTTTTTCTAAAATGTAACTAATTAATTAAATAAACTTTTTATTGGAAAATGCCAGTTTTGTCTACTTTATTGTATGGGTTTTATGGGTTAAGGTCCAACTCCCATTTTCATAGACTGTCCCCCATAGACTTGCTGCAGCCGGTCATCTGATGAGTTGCATGACGGCCAGGGTTCACTTCCTGTGAGCTTTAGATGTCAAGGACCCGCCCCCTTGGTTGCTCTGGGCTCACAGGAGAATGTTGCAGAGTACAGTGCCTTACAATGATGTCGTATTGTTCTCTACAGCATAAGGCTGGAGGAAGAGGATCCAGCGTGTCATGTGACCAGTTTAAAGACAACTGTAAATGGTGACTACTAAAAAGAATGAATAAAATGCATCAGGGGGTGTCAGCAAGGAGGGAGGAGGTCAGAGGTCTGTGGAGTGTCCAACCTGGCTTTAAAGTAGATGTAAACCTAATCATTAAACTCTCATAAAAGCTTTAGCATGTCATTCCAAAAGTTGTTCTCAATCTTTTTAAATTGCAGTTCTCATTATATCAATCCCTGGTGATCCTGCCATGAAGGTCCTTGTGCAGGCACTTCCTGTGTATGGGGTGAGCCAGTTGTTCTCCTGCGTTGTCACCCTGTCACACAGGCGTCTGATGGAGACTACAAGAGACTGTATTCACATAATGGCACAGGTATGGTCCACAATTGTTACTACCAGGAAGCTGGTCCAATGCAATGATGTGCAGCCAACATGGGAGCACGTGCATGTAGACAGGAAGTGGCTGAAAGGCTGGAGAAGATCAGATGAGCAAAATGAAACCATTTTATGTAAAAATTGATTTTTTTATGATGCACAAAGCTTTAGCAAGGTTATATTTGAAGAGACTTCAGTAGTCTACCCATGAAGGACAAAGGGACAGGTTCTCTTAGAAGAACAGCCACCCACCCACTGACACTCACTTTCTTCCAATTTCCTTGTAAAGCCTACAGAACATAAGGACTTCTTCCTGTCCTGTTTGGGCCTGGCAATTGGCTGATTAGACCCAAGCCCAAGAACAACCACCCACCCACTGACCATCACCTTCCCTACATTTCCTTTAAAAGCCTAAAGAGTGTTAAAGGAGAACTATGTGGTTAAGGCTTTTCCCCATAGTTCTCCTTAGGGTAACAGGAGGTAACGTCCTCCCGTCACCCTAGGCTCAGTATACCGCGAGCTGTAGCTCGCGGTATTCAGAGACGCCGCAGTATACCGCAAGTTCCTGCTCGCGGTATACTGAGACGCCGCAGCTGAAGCGGATCCTGACAATTGTGCCGGGATCCTCCCAGCTGCGTGAGTGGCAGCTGGCTCTGCCTATCTAGAGGCAGAGAACTTCTTCCTGTCAAGTGTTTGGACCTGGCAATTGGCTGATCAGACCCTAGCCCCATCATGGAAGGAAGGGGAGGAGGTCACATGGTCTTCCAGACCTGAAGCACCAGGTAGGGCTTGATGGAGCAATGGGGTAGTGCTACAAACATAAGTATCAATGGGTGGATGGGGCAGACGTGTTGGCCTAAACTGGTCAAGACACAGCCAACCAAACATCTCTACCACATGGTCCAATGGGTAAAGTATGGATATTTTGGATAAAATGAATGCAACATGTATAATATATGGTTAGATTTGTATATATATTGTTACATTTGAAATTGGATAAATACAAATATATGGGAATAGCCAATCTGGCACTCCCCCATTTCCCAATTTTTAGAATACTAGAGATTTCCAGGACACATAACTAAAAGAGAACTTCAGCGATGGTTGGTGGGATCTCGGTACGGGCGCTACGTGCGCACAATAAGTTTTATTTGCTTAAACAAGAGGAAATCCATTCTTCGAAACCCGGTAAATGGAATGTCCAACATGCCTTCCTCAGACGCAGCTGTTTATTATAGCAAAACAGAAAACACACTGCCGAGGGGATCTTGAATGCCTTGTGACAGCAGCAGAAGGAATTGGACAATAAGAGAATGATGGAGGAACGCCATCCCCACACCCCCTCACCTTCCTGTCTTCTCATCACTGTGACTTCCATGCATTGTCTGGGGGAGTCCTGTTATATCTTTATGGTAGCAGTTATTGTAAACCTATCCGGGAGTTTTAACGAGTTGGGTTTATGCATTCTTGTTGATATCGATCTACCAAGTTCAAGTTCCCGGGTTGTGAATCAAGAGCAGACGTACACATCCCACTGAGACCATAAACAAGGACAAACCTCATGCCATTACGGAAAGGATGTTATTTTGTACTACTGCCGTCTGATGAACACACCTAGGAAGTCACTGCCCCGGCCAAGCAAGACAAACTCTACGGCCAAAAGTATAAGGACCACCCTTCAACCCTTCAAACTATTAAGTTCAGGTGGTCCCATAATCATCATATTTTGTTTAGTAGATGGAACTTGAAGGAACTTGTTTGTCACCTTTGAGATCTTGGAATTGAGTATTCTATAAGACCAAGCGTGTGTGGACATCCTCTAAAGGATTGCGTTCCAATGTTTCCAGTAAAGGGTCCTGTTAATGCTCCATCATACGAAGACATTGTAGACAATTGTAATCTTCCAGCCTTGTGGTCACAATTTAGTGAAGACCCTTTTCTGTTCCACCGTGACAGTCCCCTGTGTACAAAACCAGCTCCATAAAGACATGGTGTGACCAGTTTGGTGTGGAGGAACACCAGTGTCCTGCAGAGAACCCTGACCTCAACGCAACTGAACACCATTGGGATGAGTTGGAACCCTTCCAAATGGTTGAGTTCAGGTGTTCTCAGTGAAGCTCCTGTTAATCCTACACCATACAATGACATTGTAGACAATTGTGTTCTTCCAGCCTTGTGGTAACAGTTTGGTGAAGGCCACAAAATGCGTGTGGTTCTCCCCAAAATCCATACCAGGCCCTTTAGGTCTGGTGGGAATTTTAAAGGGGAACCCCAGCCCCCCAAAATGGGGGGGAAAACGTGGGGTCCCCCCTAATATTCCTAACAGACTGAAACAAAAAACAAAAGGAGCGCCTCTATCGTGTGAAACAGTTTAATTAATCGGTAAAATCAGCTAAGACCATACTCACAAGCACATGGGATAAGCAGACATGTAGTTACAAAGGTAAACAAAAACACGGATGATTCATAAAGGCCGCAGCCAGCAGGCTGTAAGCCCTCCACGGTTTATGCGTTTCAGAGGACGCGCCTCCTTCCTCAGAACCAATCCCCTGGAACGCGTAAACCATGGAGGGCTTACAGCCTGCTGGCCCTCAGCATTGGGAGCCGATGGGGACAAGGGCCTCTTCCCCACAATCCTGACCCGGTGGTTGTGGGGGTCTGCGGGCAAGGGGGCTTATTTGCATCGGGTACCCCTAATTAAGGGAGCACCCAGATGCCGCCCCTCCCCTTGTGAATGAGTAAGGGGTACTTGTACCCCTATTCATTCACTAAAGGGTTAAAATTCAAAGTCAATAAACAAACCGCACTTTTAGAAAAAATACTCAAATGCAATTCGAAAATTCGGATTCAGACCCATTTGGAGGCATTCAACCGAAAACCACATCTGATTGGCCAGAAAAGTCACATGTCCAATTCAATTTAGTTTTTTAACCAAATTTCGTACGGGATCCGAAATCCGTAAACGAAAATTCGGATTCGGACGCATTCGGACGCATTGGGATTGGGAAATTCGGATGCGTCCGAATTTTGGAAAATTTGTACGAATTTTTGATTCGGAACGAAGCGAATCGCACGCGTCTAGCCTCTTACATCTTTCAGTCCGTG